ACTTCGACCACCTCTGGAGCATCTGCCAGAAATCTCAAGTACTCGACACAAAATCACTACTTTAGAACCACTACATAGCATTGTCTTTACATGTATATTCGACATGTTGCAATTGTCCGAGTAAAGTCTTTACAGAATACACGACACACGACATATATCAGAGACTTTTGTGAATTAAAAGAATTTTGTGAATTCAGGTATGATACAGAAGCACTAAGTATAACCCACAAAAGCACATATATAAATTATATTATTGATAATTGCATATATATATAAATAAAGGATACATTGGCGCTGTAAATAAAATGTTTTTATAAAATTGATTCAAAATGGAGGCCCTGAAAGTAATTATGACTATTCAAGGAACACCTAAGTGCTTCAACACATCCCAATTTTTGGCTTTTAATTAACGTTCCACGATATATTAATTATATCAGATTGATTTACAGAATAATTAAATGATTTGATGCATAAATTAATTAAAACTAATCAAGGATTTAATTAAAAACTCTTAATTAACGCGAGCTCATTTTAATTCACGGAAATCTTTTTGACAAGTGAACAGATTGAAGTTAGCAAAATGACCGTTGCCGCTACTTGTACAATTTAAAGCGCGAAATTCAAACAGAAAATTTAATCTTTTAGATTTGCTTGAAAATATGAAAATATTCAGGTAGAATTAATTATATAATTATTTTAGCTTATTAATAATTTGATTTAGATTTTATACTTAAAACAAACTGAAAATAATATTATAAATTATATACCATAAAATTTGGAAATAACTATCAAAATAATAATATCACAAGCTATATGAACATAAATTTATTTCATTAAAAAACACAATTGAAATAAAAAATATTACTAATTAAATAAAATATACAAAATATTACTAATAAGAGGCGCTTTGTGTTATTGTTTTTGATTGCGCTTCTAGAAATGTTATTCAAGGGTTTTTGGTCCCAAAGTTTAAATCAACAAAATTAGTGAAAATTTACTAAAATAATCACAAAATTGTGATAATTATTATACCAATTTTTATCCTATTTTTTTTAGGACAGTTCAGATCAATACTGTTACCCCTGGGACTAGAACTAGATACCTTCCATCAATAATTATATTTTTAATAAGCTATATTAAACAGCTTACATTGAGTTAATAATAAATATATATATATATATATATATATATATATATATATATAAACAGTTTTTTTGTTAAGCAGAAATCTGTTATTTTTGTTCAAACGTCAAAATTAATGCTAAAATTCATAAATCCATTGTAATCTGCAAATAATTGATATCAAATTAAGGTGCGCTTCCAGTTTCCAGTGTATGTTACAGTATCATTAATAATACGAATTTCAATTAGTGAAGTACGACATAATACCGCGCGAAAGCTGAGAAGCGAGGTTTATCGCAACGAATAATTTAAATTTAATCATTAATATGTATGTAGGTATCTAGGTATGTATTTTTTATTTGTATTTGAAAAATTCATTCCATAAATAAAAAGTTATATTCAAATATAATTCAATCAATTGCAAAATCACCAATTTGTATAATGTTGACATAAGTTGTATCTAGTATAAGAATGATAAAAATACCTTTAGATTGCTTCTTAAAACTTGCATCTTCATCCAGTGCTAACAAATATCCTATTATTCATAATTTAAGCATAATATAAGATGTGGAAGATCTATGAAATGCTTTGTTGATGATTTGTAGAGATTCTTTCAAATCCATATGTGAATTATATTAATTATTATGCTGCCAAATCTTTCACATCAGCTTCGTTTAGTTTTTTTCTATTTAATTGGTTCAACTTATTAATAATTCTTGCAGTTGATGCTATCATTTAATAATAAACAAAAGGTTACATGCTTAACACAATTGTGTCAATACAATATTTTGTTAATTTCGCAAATTTGCATTATATATCTTCATAATATATATTTGTGCTTGCAATCAATATTGAGTGAAACGTATATTTAAATTTTATGCTATAAAGGTCCAAAATTGAAACTACTAAGAAGCGTTCATTAAATTCTTCCATTCTTGACATTTATGTTTCCATGAATATATTCTATGAATTTTAAATGTATGTTGATTTTGCCTTGCCCTATTAGATTCATTAGCTTTGTAAGTGCCAAAATCTATATAATCTATAAAATAATATTAGACATCTGTCTGTTTTTTGTACATAGACTTCCCTATGTATAATATCAAGAAGCTTCAATTTAATTTGTGTTTATTTCTCAAGTGTAATTCCCTGTAATATTATTTAATTAACTAACAATCAAGTATATTTACCTCTATGATATTTCTCCTGATTTATCATCAAATTCATAATAAACTTGAGTAAATTATCTTGAAGTATTAGAATATAATTTAGAGTATCTAAACAATCATCTGTAAGTGAACTTAGTAACCTCTTTTATTTTGCGTTTGCATTGTGTATTCTTGGTCATCTTTATAACATGTAAATAGAGTAACCCAAATAGGAATATAGTAATCTTCAGAATTCCTCCATTAAAAACTAAACTATCATAATTTAATTATACATTTTGTGTAGTTATTGCTAATATTAATAAATATTCAAGTATAGGGAAACCTATATTTGTATTGCATTTAAGAGTCTAATAAGCTTCGAATCATAATTTGATTATACATTCTTTGTAGTTATTCTTATTATTGAGAATTAGGCAAAGGTAGAGAATCCTACAGTTGCATTACAGATAAAAGTCAACTTGATTTGTAATTATATTTTTCCACTACAATTCTGTGCAACAATATTCAATTAGGTTAACAGTCGAGAACATTTACCTCTTATGATATTTCTCCTAATTGATTGATAAAATCATAATAAATTTGTGGAAAGTATTTTTAAGTATTAGAATATTATCTAGTATATAAAGGCAGTCATCTTTGAGTAAACTTAGTATCCATTTTATTTGCATTTAAAAGTGTGCCCTTCGTCATCTCCACAAAAAGATTATATTGTCCTGAATGAGTAGAGTAATCCAAATATCTCCAAAAATCCTTCATTAAAACCTAAACAATCACAAATTGATTATACATTCTGTGAAGTATTAAAAATTAAGTTTTTAAATAAAGTAAGTTATTGTTAACATAGTCACAGTATTAATGTAACAGATTTTTGTACTATAAATAATCATTAAACAAAATCAAAAATAAATACAGCATTTTTAATAGAAATGGTAGTTGAACTGACATGACATTTGACTGATAATACTTGTGAGTTTACACAAAGTTTATATAAATATTACAATAATGTTTTAACAGTTTATACTTACATTTTAATCGGTATTTATCATATCTTGATGTATTTATTGAAATATTTGCAGTTTTGATACGAATACGAACACAATAAAGAATAAGATGTTTTGCACACCCCGTTAAAACCCAAAAAATATGCCATGTACTAAGAAACCCAACAGACGTCATAAAAAAAAACGACTTACCAACATTCAGAGACGAAAGACACTGTGTAATACACCTAAACTGTCATTCGCAAATGAAACGTCAAAATAACACATATAACCTCCATAAAAGAATTGCTTTCACCCTAGACAATATACTAATGGCTTTCACAGTGAAATGTCCTTTGTTAGCGAATATTATTACGAAAAACGATAAATTTTGTTTGATTAGGACATTAAAGAGTGTTTTAGATTAGTTATTGTAGTTACTCACACTATTTTCTATGTTTTAAATTTATTGTCAGTTTTATTTACATTTCTCATCGAATTAAGACCAGGAATTTACACGCTTAAATATTAAATGAACATCAAAGTTCTTGATGTAAGCTCTGTTCATTAGAACTCAACTTCAAATTCATATTTTGTGTATATATTTATAATCATATAATAAAATGAAGTCAAACATATGATATGTATTAAATTGTGATATTTTCAGTCTTTCGTTTTATTAAAATATATATCAACACCTAACTCACATATATCGCATTTATAGTAATTGTATATAAATATAGTAATGATATTTAGAATGTTCTAAAATAATCAGGTGTATCTCATACAAATTTTAACAATATGATTGCCATGAAAAATACCAAACATAGTTAAAAAAAATCATCTATTCCGATAAATATTTTTATTAAAAATGAAATATATACACATTATATTATTTACAATTTGACCTATGTTATAGAAAACATTAGAAGAATGATACAAAATAAATACAAATGTGTATAATCTTCGGAAGATGATGAACAGGATTGTGTAGTTGAAGGAGCAGGGATATTACAATGGACTCGGCGTACATGTCTATCTAAAGTATGTATGGTTTTAAAGGTTTTATAACAAAATTGACACGAATTAGGATAAATGGCTCGTGGCTCTTTGTCATGCTGTCTCCTGAAGTGTCGATATAAAGAGCTACGAGCTGTAAACGTGGTTTTGCATTCACTACAAGCAAAGTCCATGTTGGTTTATTGGATAAATTACAAATAAAATAGATATCGAGAATAAAGAGCAAAGTGACTAAATTGTATAAATTGTGAAATGAGTATGAACTAAAGGCTAGAGCATGAAAATAGAAAGTAATGTAAACGTAAGTAAAAAAGTACCTAAATAATATGGAAGCTAAGCTATTAACGAAAATGTAAAAACTACTGAAATAATATGGACCTAAGCTAGGCCTAAATGTTAAAAATACCTAAATAATATGGCTAAGGTAGTAACGAAGCTAAATGTAAAAACGACTTAAATAATATGGAACCTGAGGTAGACCTAAATGTTAAAAGTACCTAAATTATATGGAACCTAAGCTAGTAACGAACCTAAATGTAAAAACTACTTAAATAATATGGAACCTAAGCTAGACCTAAATGTTAGTATCTAAATAATATGGAAGCTAAGCTAGTAACGAACCTAAATGTAAAAAGTACTAAGCTAGACCTAAATGTAAAAAGTAGCAAAATAATATGGAAGCAGCTAGACCTAAATGTGAAAAGAAGGTAAAGAAAGTGGAACCTAAGCTAGACCTTAATGTAGAAAGTGAGATAATAACCCTCATAAAACAAACCTAATGAAGAAGTAAATTTGTTAATTTCAAAAAGCGCAGTAAGAAATATAAATGAAAAGAAACAGAACGAATTATAATAAAATATGTTAATGTAAGAAAAATAATAATAAAAGCCTTACTTAAGAAGAAACGTGCACAAGCGAATTGATTGCATAGCACTAAAATGGTAACCGCAGAGGAAAGAACAATATAAAATGAAATGAAATAAATGAAAGAATCATAAAGGAACGAAATGAAAAGGCATAACTGCAAACTAAATGAAATTAAAAACGCACAATCAGAATAAAGGTCTTACTTGAACAGAAAATGGCGGACATGACACGATACAACGCTACAAGAAAAAAATGAGATCGAGCATATGCGCAGTAGTGGTAGAAGAATTGCACTAAATATTCCCCTAAATGATTTGCAGAAAGCAACACTGCTGAAATTTTGACAGGTTATGATCAACACCGGAGCCAACTTCAGTGTGTATGGGTTTTCTGGCAATCGTAATTTTTGTTATTTAATGACTCCTATGTTTTGCATAGTTTCAATTATGTGGCACACTTCACTGCTATCAGTTTACATGAATTTAATTTTGACGTTTAAAACTAAAAGAATAACAAAAATTTTGTGGTTATATATTTATACAAATTCAAATTTGTAAAAAAATGTGTGGAAATCGGTTGCCAAAATTGTATTGCAAAGTTATTGTGCCAAGCATATTGTTTTTAATCATTTTTACATAGTGTCATTGTGTGGTTTTAACGAATTTATTTTAAATTGCTTGTTTCTGTTTACTTTGAATCCATACAATTGATTGTTGTGCAGTGATTAATTACTAACGAATAGTGCTTAATTAGTGAGTTAATTACTAACGAATAGAGCTTAATTATTGATTGTAATTAAGTTTTTTATAGTTTTCAACATATATATGAGGTTTTACTCATGAAGTTTGATTTAAATCCCAATAATTAACAAGTTTGAGACAGGGGTTATGTTTTCTTCCGGAGGCTCTTTCACCCACGGGAGCGCCTCCGCGAGTAGCCTCCAACCAGCATATATAAGGCGGTGCTAATTAGCACGCAGCTCATTAGTGCGTCAGCTCCCGAACAGTGAACATCTCGTAGTGCAAGTACAATAAGTGATCAAAATGAACAATAATTATTTTACAACCAAGTAGTGTTTATAAAGTGTTATAATGTGTTCCGGTATGCAGTTTACACATATAAAAGGTAAGAACTTTTATTCTTTATAATTTTGCTTAATTATTAAGTTTTATTCGCACAACAAGTGACACCGTCTGGTACTGATTTGTGAACAATGTTTACATCTGTAAAAATATCGTAGGCGTGCTTTGTTGTTGATTTGCAATAAATTTATCACATATTATTTATTATTATTGCACTTTTACATAATATTTATTGAGATTTTTGCGTTTTTTCGCTATTCAAATTTTGTGACATTTGCAAAATCCAAGATGGCGGCCATAATCACCAACGGTGGTTTTGTCCTGTTTTAAATAATATAACCGTTTTCACGGCGTATTATTGATGAAAATTCAATAAACTTTGACCTAATGTATCCATTTACATTAAAAAACTGCACCTGTACAGTTATTTTTTTGCAAAAAAGCAACGAAAAATTCTTCGGTATTGAACCAAAACAAAACGGCGTCAACTGTCAATTGACCAAAGTTTGAAACGCCTTTTTAACATTACAATCATATTTGCAACGCTAAAACCCAATATAAATCATTTGTATTTCACAAATTTGATTCAGTTTCGTATAAAATTTCATATTGTTATTAATATTTATTATTTGCAAATTTTCTGCAAACTATTAACAAGCCATCTAGCGGCGCATTTGCAAAACAAGATGGCGTCCGTTGCTAACTTTAGTTCATCTGCAAACCAATGATAATTGATTTAAATACTTAAATTATTATTTATTCAATAATTATAAATACCTATTTATTCAATAATTATACTTATATTTTTTCACATATTATTTTCAAGTTACATAAAACAATAAATATAAAATGGAATTATTTCATATCATCTAGATGAATATTTTTTTAAAATAAAGATATAATGACATAATTCCATCATCTATTTATTATTTTATATGACTTAATTAATATAAAATTATAATAAATACATAAATAGTTATTATTTTCCATCAAATCTAATGTTATATTTTTCATTATTTTCAGATTTTGATATGATCTTATCACTTCGAGCCCACATCACTTCTAGTTTTCAGAGAGATGCAGATTTTGCAGATATTTATAATATTGAAGAGAATGGGCGAAGATGCTGCAAAGGTAGGATTTTTTTTATTTTCAACTTATGGAAGTTATATTATTTATTTTTTCACTGAAATAAATAAATAATTTTCATAGCCTATGACGATGATTTTTATGTAGGGCTGATGTGCAATTATTTTCTTGTTTTTTTCTGGTTTTTGTCATTTTTTGGTTAGTTTCTTTTTGGCGTTTTTGGTTTTTATTTATTTCGATGTTGCAGAGAGTTCTTCATTCGATCGTGTGGCATTTGTTACTTGTTGAATTTGTTTTATTTACATTGAAATAGCTAGGATATTTTTATTTAGTTTTTATCATTTTTATGTATATGCTTATGTATTTATTTATGTTTATATGTGTATATATATATGTATATGTATATATACACACATGTGTTTTCAGGTATTTAAAGATATACGATGAAAGGTTTTTGGGCATTTTTTGCAACAATTTAGAGAATTCAATAATGAAAAATGTAAATCTTTATTATAATAGAATAGGTTTCGAGTTTCGATTTGACACATCTTCAATGCATACAAATAATCAAATCAAAACAAAGGGATGATGAGAACACTAATTAATATAATACATAGTTATATATATATATATATATATATATATATATTTATATATATATATATATATATATATATAAATCAGTTACCAAATAAATTAAATAAAATTTATGAAAGTACTTGTGACTAAATCATGGCAAACATTTGAATCAAACTTTTGAAAACATTTGAAAATTTGATTCAAACATTTTATATTAATTAGTGTTCTTGTTTTTGAGTTTTGAATTGATTATTTGTATGCAGTAAAGATTAGTCAAATTGATATTCGAAACTTATGCTATTATAATGAAAATTTACATTTCTCTTATTTAATTCTTTCAATTATTGGATGGATATCCGAAAACATTTTATTCGTTATATAATATATATTCTCACTCTATTTTTTTTTTAACTCTAACTACAATCTCTATTACACTATTTGTCTCTGTATTCGAGTTTCTTTATATGTATGGTCTCTTGTTGTTTCTACAACTTCTACTGGAATCTA